ACTATGCCCAGAGGGCTCATTGGACTTATTGAATTGGCGATACCTTGGTTCATAATGAATTCAAATATTGAAGTGTACCTGGCACATTTAGCTTAGTGGTAACGAATACGCCTGGAAGGGCAAATGTCCTGGGTTCGAATGACCAGGGCCAGTTTTTCTTTCAATCGGTAATTGTTACGGTTCAAAATAATTCGGCCTAATTTTTGTCTGCTTATGCTTATTCGGCTTAGTTGTAGCTTTTAATAATCGTTTGTTTTAGCTGTAAACACTTTTAACTGCAGTTGTCTTTTAAATCTTAAAATTCCGGCTGAACCGTTTTTGCTTTTCACATTGGTTATTTTGCCAGTTCGATTTTTAAAAACTTCCTTCTTGTTTTCATTTTTTTGTCATTTTTATCGGCTTAATAAGTTTTGGACTATTTAGTATCGGTTTAGTGGCCTCTTTTTGCGTCCTTACGTCTGAAAAAAGTCTTTGTTCGCGTGTGTGAGCTCTGACGTGAAAAGGGACATTTTGTACGCGTGTGTGAGCTCTTAGGGCAAGGGGGTAATTATAATTTCAAATCCAATCAACCCTCCAGCGCATCTGGCTCGAGGCGGCAAAGATTGTGGCCTTTTTTTGCAAACTCTTTTTTCTTTGCTTTTTCGGATTATCGTCCATCTATTTATTTTTTCGGCTTAGTTCTCGCAGTTCTATGGTTCAGCTGTATTCTAAGTTGCTGTAACCCCCATGCTTGAGACGACAAAGCCTGGGAGTTCGATTCCAGTTGAGACTTGTTTTTCTTGCAAATAGAAAATTTCGGCTGATTTAGATTGTCTGTCTGCTTAATTCTGTCTGCTCAGTTTCACAAAGTGTGTATTATTACCATTGCAATCAGCAAGGGTATTGCAATCGGGTACTAGACTTTTTCTCGTAAACAACTTTGTCCACAGGACTCGTCTGTACTCGTAGAACCTTGGTTCATATTGATTTCAAATTGATTAGTCCATCTAAAAACATCTGGGGAAACTCGCTGGCTTAAGTTTTATAAAGCGTCTTTTAACCTATCTGTAAAATTGAACCAAATAACGCATATTTGGACGAACTCGAAGATAGTTTCTATACAGAAACCAAGCAAAGGTTCGAAAATTTCATAACCTGACCGTTGTTTCAATTTTAAGACAGCAGTAAACGTTTTAGAAGGTCTAATACACCCAAAAGTTCCTCCCAAAAGCAGCTCATCGTTACGGTTTCCGGTTCCTACACTCAACAACGAGGGTCCTAACTACTCCAATTTTACATCTGCCTTGGTTGTAACCAATGATGACCCTCTGAATGGACTTCACTTGCCTTTCTAGATCTCTCTAAAAGCTCAAAGTTTTCTGCCACCGCACTCTGTTGGAGCTACTATATAGACTAGTGTTCCCGAAAGCTTAAGAAGATGGATAGCAAACTGGTCAGCCCAGACGCAATGCAAGGATACCTTGTCTACATCAAGGATTCTGCTTACAGGCGTCCCTCAATGCTGTCATCTCACTTACTCTTTTTAAAATTGCATCCGCTTCCAAAAACAATCGCAAGATGAACCGAATTTCTCCAGAAGTAAACGTCCAGTCTTACGCCGATGACTTCTACACTGAAGTCGAATCGCGCGACATGAAACAGGTCTCCACTAAACTGAGTAACTATGTCAATAAACTACATGACTTTTTGTTACAAGTAGATAACTCGTTGCTCGTTTTTACCTTAAATTTCTCGGTGTCTATTTCGACCCAGCTCCTAATTTCTCCGAACACTGCAGACACTCTACTAAGTAAAACCATGCGCAGGATATCAGTCGTGAAGACACTGTCGAGGGATACCAATTGGGGACAGTCGAAATGACTAATAGTTTCCTATTGTCGTTTCCATAGCAAGGGTATTGCAATCGCGAAAGCGGTTACAACACTTTTTTGCCGTAAACAACTATGCCCAGAGGGCTCATTGGACTTATTGAATTGGCGATACCTTGGTTCATAATGAATTCAAATATTGAAGTGTACCTGGCACATTTAGCTTAGTGGTAACGAATACGCCTGGAAGGGCAAATGTCCTGGGTTCGAATGACCAGGGCCAGTTTTTCTTTCAATCGGTAATTGTTACGGTTCAAAATAATTCGGCCTAATTTTTGTCTGCTTATGCTTATTCGGCTTAGTTGTAGCTTTTAATAATCGTTTGTTTTAGCTGTAAACACTTTTAACTGCAGTTGTTTTTTAAATCTTAAAATTCCGGCTGAACCGTTTGTGCTTTTCACATTGGTTATTTTACCAGTTCGATTTTTAAAAACTTCTTTCTTGTTTTCATTTTTTTGTCATTTTTATCGGCTTAATAAGTTTTGGACTATTTAGTAGCGGTTTAGTGGCCTCTTTTTGCGTCCTTACGTCTGAAAAAAGTCTTTGTTCGCGTGTGTGAGCTCTGACGTGAAAAGGGACATTTTGTACGCGTGTGTGAGCTCTTAGGGCAAGGGTGTAATTATAATTTCAAATCCAATTAACCCTCCAGCGCATCTGGCTCGAGGCGGCAAAGATTGTGGCCTTTTTTTGCAAACTCTTTTTTCTTTGCTTTTTCGGATTATCGTCCATCTGTTTATTTTTTCGGCTTAGTTCTCGCAGTTCTATGGTTCAGCTGTATTCTAAGTTGCTGTAACCCCCATGCTTGAGACGACAAAGCCTGGGAGTTCGATTCCAGTTGAGACTTGTTTTTCTTGCAAATAGAAAATTTCGGCTGTTTAGATTGTCTGTCTGCTTAATTCTGTCTTTTCCGTTTCACAGAAATCGTGTATTATTACCATTGCAATCAGCAAGGGTATTGCAATCGGGTACTACACTTTTTCTCTTAAACAACTTTGTCCACAGGACTCGTCTGTACTCGTGGTACCTTGGTTCATATTGATTTCAAATTGATTAGTCCATCTAAAAACATCTGGGGAAACTCGCTGGCTTAAGTTTTATAACACATCTTTTAACCTATCTGTAAAATTGAACCAAATAACGCATATTTGGACGAACTCGAAGATAGTTTCTATACAGAAACCAAGCAAAGGTTCGAAAATTTCATAACCATACCGTTGTTTCAATTTTAAGACAGCAGTAAACGTTTTAGAAGGTCTAATACACTCAAAAGTTCCTCCCAAAAGCAGCTCATCGTTACGGTTTCCGGTTCCTACACTCAACAACGAGGGCTCTAACTACTCCAATTTTACATCTGTCTTGGTTGTAACCAATGATGACCCTCCGAAAGGACTTCACTTGCCTTTCTAGATCTCTCTAAAGTTTCAAAATTTTCTGCCACCGCACTCTGTTGGTAATACTACATAGACCAGTGTTCCCGAAAGCTTAAGAAGATGGCTAGCAAACTATCTGAGTGGCCGGTCAGCGCTGACGCACGCAATACAGAGACACCTTGTCTACATCAAGGATTGTGCTCACAGGCGTCCCTCAAGCCTCTGTCATCTCACTTACTCTTTTTAAACTTGCATCCGCACCAGAAAACAATCGCACGATGCACCCGAATTCCATCAGAAGTAGAACTTTAGTCTTACACCGATGACATCCACACTGACGTCGAATCGCGCGACATAAAACACGCCTCCACTAAAATGAGTATAATTTTATCGGTGTAAATTTCGAACCAGTTCTTAATTTCTCCAAACACGGAGAAATAAATCGATTTTTTGATTTTTTTTCCGTTTCATTTTCTTTGTCATTCATTTTTGACCCTCCGTTACAGAGACACCTTGTCTAAATCAAGGATTGTGCTCACAGGCGTCCCTCAAGCCTCTGTCATCTCACTTACTCTTTTTAAACTTGCATCCGCACCAGAAAACAATCGCACGATGCACCCGAATTCCATCAGAAGTAGAACTTTAGTCTTACACCGATGACATCCACACTGACGTCGAATCGCGCGACATAAAACACGCCTCCACTAAATTGAGTATAATTTTCTCGGTGTAAATTTCGAACCAGTTCTTAATTTCTCCAAACACGGAGAAATAAATCGATTTTTTGATTTTTTTTCCGATTCATTTTCTTTGTCATTCATTTTTGTATTGCAAGTGATGCAAAGCTCAGCTTCGCCTGTGGTTAAAACTTTCATAAGACCATTTATTGCTTACGTCTGTCGAGCCGGGGCTCATGCTACCAGTAATATTTTCATTAGTAAACTGCCAAAAGCAGCTTTTCGGATTGTGACCGGGTTCACTAAAATGAACCTTTTTGACCACCTGTACTCAGTGCTAACTGGCTGATGTGAGAATTCACCATAAGCTTCTCGCATCTCAATTCGCTTTTAAAACTCACGTGCCTTCAATTTCATTACATTTTAACCCTACTCACCTGCCCCCTCTACGCTCATAAATTGTAGACACACACAAAGAAGAACTTCAATGTTGGAACTAGTGGGGCAAACGAATCCAAATCTTTAACCGATTTTAGCCAGCTTAGAGGTTTCATAAACCAGAATTTTAAAACGTTTCTGAATTACTTTTACACTCGCAGAGTTCAAAAAGCCATTGATGAAACCAGCGCGCTAAAGTTATCACTCCTAGACCACCAGACGTCTCTTGAAAAGAAATGAGAGTCCCCCGCTCAACTAGACGCACCCTCGCTGAAATAAGATCCGGCTACAGTCCCTACCGTAACGATTTTTCAAATAGTATAGAACCGAAAGTCCTACCTATATGCCCTCAATGCCCAGCACCCCACACTGCACTACGTCGTTTTAACCGTCCCAAAAATCCCTGACCCCAATAGACCTGTGACTCCCACCGATAGTGGCCGGAACGTTTTTTAGACTCGGCGAGAGCATGCCGGTCACACCCCAAATATCGGGATGAAAACAGCAACAACAGGTACGCAAGATAACCTTATTTTTGCGGATACCTGATTGTTAGGTGGGAGAAGCACTGGTTCTTATTTTTTAAAATTATCTGGTAAGCGATGTGGTCAGTGTTGTGGAAGCGTTCAAAAAGTGTTCTGTTCTAGACTACAACACTGATCGGTTTGCTGAAGACGGCTAGACTGTTGCGTCTAGTGCGAGTGGCTCGGAAATTGGACCGGTACTCGGAATACGGGGCGGCCGTGTTGCTGCTCCTCATGTGCACATTTGCCATGATAGCACACTGGCTGGCATGCATCTGGTACGCCATCGCTAATGTAGAACGACCCACACTCGAGGTGAGGTAGATCTATTGTCACGGGGGAGGGCATTAGAAGACGAAAAAGGACCAAATATATCATTCAGCGTTGAGTAAAATATCATAAAAAGTGGGAAATTGGACATCGCTGCTTACATGAAACCTTATAATCAGGTTTTACAAAGAGTATCCAAATCTCAATCAGATCCGTAATTATTTTAATCATTGCCTCAGGATGAAATAACGTGTGCGAACAAAATTTTATAGTTTCGCACCAACGGTTCGATATAGAGAGCTGAATATGTAGTGGGCTGGTCCTTTTTCTCATCAGTTAATGAGTTTTAACATAGGTAGTGTGTTATGTTATACTAGCACAAGATAGGCTGGTTAGACCACTTAAGTGAGCAGATAAATGAGCCGTTCAACAACAGCACTGGCCTGGGGGGACCCTCCACCAAGGCCAAGTACATCACCGCCCTCTACTTCACCTTCTCAAGCATCACCAGCGTTGGTTTCGGAAACGTCTCTCCCAACACCAACGCAGAGAAGATATTCTCCATCATGGTGATGCTAGTGGGATGTGAGTGCCAAATACTACTGTTGTGCGTCGTCCCCTATCACTATAAGCGCGGAAGATTAAAGCTCAAGACAGGCTAGCAGACAGTGAACGTATATAACCATCATGATAAATAGCGAAATAATATATTTCATCTGTTCAAATTTACCAGACTACTAACTGCGAGACAAGCAAACCCAGTTTAGTCTTTCTGGTTTTGATTCGATTCACGTTTTGTCGTTTGGTTCGCATTCACTGCCTGCTGTCGAGCCTAGTTTGATTGAGTGGGACGCGCAAGCCAGTAGTTTAATTCTTATTTACTTTGTCCTCACGCGTTTTTTTTTTTCATTTGACTCAAGCATAAAATAGGATGGCTAGACCAACTGGCCTCAGACTTGAAGCAGCCTTACTCCCCCAATGCCTCCTTGGCTTTAAGGGGATTGCCAGACAACAGAGGGGGGCCTGATCTCTCCTCGAGATACATCACGGCCCTCTACTTTATATTCAGCAGCCTCACATCGGTCGGCTTCGGAAATGTATCTCCAAGCACTAATGCCGAAAAAGTGTTCACCATAATGGTCATGCTGTTGGGATGTAAGTCAGTCTTGTTGAGTCGCTCGCCCGCCTTGTGCATTTTCTGGTCATTTCAAACTAAACATCCTATCTAAGTGACCAGGTCTGTAGTGGCCAAGTTTGACGCGAAATATAATTCAATGGTGACGCATATTCAATGGCTTATTAGCAGCTTGATAACAGAACTCACTGATGTGTTTCAGAATTTTGCTGATGAGTACCTTATTTGTTCATCTTTTCGTTTATACTCTTTTCGATCTGAATGAGGCATCCACGATTGGAGTTTTTTTTTCATTTTTTTTTTTTGAAATGACCCGATATACTTTTATAATTATTAGGCTTTAGATAGACTGAATGATCTTAACTTGCACGACAAAAGGGGTAAAATCCAGCTTATGGTTCAAATATCTGGCAGCTGCGATATGATTTGCTATACTGAACACTGAACTCCTTTTGGCCCAAACGGAAATGTATCTCCAATTTGATCAGAGCAATCTTTCGTGAAGTAAGCAAATAAAGTAAATTTTTTCAGGTCGCGTGATTTTTGTTACGTAATTTCCTCAAAATGTTTTGAAATATGATCACGCTCAAAGTGATTGACTATTAGTTTCGGAATTGGATTCAAGTTTTTACATTTCTCAGCGGAATTTTAAAAAATTAGTATAGCACAGCTCTAATTGGGCTAGTTTTATCAAAAACTGCCAACAATAACGCTTTCGATTAGCAAGCGTTATCAAATCGGAAAATAGATTTCCGTAAAGTAAACATTTTGTATCATTTCAATCTTTGAATCATTTCTTGAGGTCTTTTGTCAACTCTGTTTTTTCGTCAACTAACTGACATTTTTGTGCATGTTTGCGTTTCAAGTACCCAGTCTAATCTAAACTTGCTTTTTTATATTGGTTGTAAATTTAGCAACTTCGATTTGATAAAATTTCAGTTTCTTATTTGTTTACTAGGTTTAATAGTTTTAAATGGGTTCAGCTGATTAGTCGTCGTCTTTTTTACCTCACTTTATATTCTATGGAGGGCGAAAAAGTTGCCAGATAAATGACCCTAGTGCTACAGAGATCAATAAAATTAATGACTGTGATCCAGCACAACTAACTGTTACTCCAAGCTTTTAATGTCATATCGATGTTAGATAGAGGCAAACAATTGAGCAGGGCTGAAATCATTGTTATCCTGATTGAAATAAATCAAAGTGGCCCTTAGTTGGTGTTTAGTTATAATATATACCCTTTTTGCTTTGCTGATGTTAAATATTACATCAACCAGCGTTGTCCTTGAATGTATGCTGTTTCCCTTTGAATCCGTTGAGATAATGAATTTAACATTTTCAGGTCGCGGGATTTTTTTCGCCGTTTCCGTCAAAATTCTCGCCCAAATTTGATTTGTTTTTGTGGTTTGACCTTCCAATTTTTCCAAATTTACTTCAAATTCTTTAAAGAGTAATGAACTTATTTGGTACTCTTATACAGGTCTTGCTGATTTTTTTGATTTTTTTCAGGAAAAAATCTGAAAATTTGGTCACGCTTAATTTTGATTTTTCGCGGTTTGACTTGTGACTTCTTTTCAAGCTCAGTGCATTTCTATTGTTAAAAGGAAGGCAAACTCTACTATCAAACAGCAAAAGTGAAGGTCACGAAAAACCTGATCGACTTCTAATTTCGAAAATGGAAATTATCTAGCAGATTTCCCAGTGAAAAAAAAGTTTTGCCGGTAACTTCCCAAATATCATAATTCCCAAATGGCATAAAAATGAAACTTTTCCCAAATGGCATACATTTCAAGTTTTCATTGTAATTCAAACGTTTTCTATCAATTTCAAATTCTAACATTTTGTCAGGAACGAAAACATGTGAACAAGATTTGGAATTAATTGCTTTCAAACAAATGTTAAGCAACAAATTTGTCGGAAAAATTGACCACATGAAGCTTTTAACCGCAATCTTATGATTTTCGCTATGATAAAAAAGTTCTACAATTTTAAGATAAAATGTCAATTAACATTTGAATTGACAACTTGACTTATTTTTTCACATTATTGTTCACGAACAAATTGTTCTAGATTTTCCTATTGCACCTGTTGCATCAAATTTATGCCATTTGGGAAATTTTTCATTTTTATGCCATTTGGGACACATGTCATTTGAGACGTAAGCAGTTTTGCCTTTTGATCCAGTTTTCTCAAATTGGGTTAGTTTTAACAAAAAAGTGTCCACATCAATTGTTCTAAAAATTCAAAAAGCTTTAAGGCCATCTAAGCTTTTCTTTGAAATTTAAAATTTGAAATTTTTGAAAAAACAAGTCGTTTTTTTTCAGTTTCTTTACGTTCATTACTCTTTTCCAACTGTCAGTTAGATGTTTGCTAAATAGAAGGCAAGCTACGCATTCCAAAATAAAAGTGCGAAAATCCAACATGTTAATTCAGGGGCGGATTTTTTTTTTTGGGGGGGGGGGGGGGCGTCCGCTTCCTCAGGGATTCGACCCCCCTGTCCATTTTCGGCTGACGGATTTTCAGCGAAGTTTTTCTAAAGGCGCCTTGGGCGCCAATATATACTTATTTTGAGGGGTGGGCGCACCGAAGAAACGCTTTTTTTTGGTTAAAAATTCCAAAAAGTGCCTAAAAACGCCTTGTTTGGCCTGTTTTTTCCCCAAATTTTGCCTGAGGCGCAGAAAAATTGGCCAAAACAGAGTCTTTTTAGTGCTATGGGAATTCCAATTATGAAAAAAAGGTCGACCAGATTTTTTTTTCAAATCCCCTCCTCCCTCGAGAAAATCCAAGATCCGTCCCTGTGTTATTTAACGCAGTCTTCAACCTTGAAAAATTGATCAACACTTAAGTGTCACTGAAGACATATATAGGTTGACTTGATTTTGGTTCAAATCAAACTAATTTTCTGAATGGAAGGCAAACTTAATTTTCTGAATGGAGGGCAAACTAACCTCTGCAAAGGGATCAATCTGTTGAAATTGGATCATGTTTTTTCAGTATTCTTGAGATTATATAATTTCTTCCAACAGCCAGTTAGGATAAGGTCATTAAACAAACTACTTTACAACTCTCTGTTGGCTATATTTACATCTATCCAATTATCTAGTTCACGTCAACTATTTGCAAATATCTATCAAATTTGTCATTTTAAGAGTCGATGAATCAGGTCGTAATGGTTTAAGCTTTTTAAAGGAAAAATACCAAAATATGTTTGTTCAAATTTGATTTGTTCGTGGTTTTACTTCTGTTTTTTTTTTAGTTCCATTCATTGTTTAAAAGTAAGGCAAACTCCACTACTGAACAGCAAAATTTTAATGGTCATGAAAAACGTGATCGACTTCTAATTTCGAAAGTCGATTTTAATTTTCAGATTTCTCGGCGCAATAAAAAATTTACCTAGTGATCAATAGGTAATCTTTTTTTCTTTGAAATTCGAAAGTCGTTTTTTTTTTCAAAATACAAGTGTTTTTTCTGTTTATTTGTGTTCATTGACTCTTTTCCAACTCGGCTTGCTATGTTGCAGTTGCCGTTTAACTTCAAGTTGGATAATGTGCGGTTAATTCCTACAGTATTTAGCTGGTATCTTTCCTTTGATGACCGATACATGACGAGACCAAAATGTGCACTGGATATGCGCACATTTTTGTGTCTGTATGTTCCTGGGTTCCAGAGACAACTCTTTAAACATGTTAAAATATTTGTCGAAACGATCAAAATGAATGAAAGAACAAAAGAAGAACAACCGAAGTGTCATTGTTGCGGAATCCGCTGACAGTTCACAAAATACACTGTTTGCCCTCGTAATGTTTATATTGCGTTTTAATTAAAACTCTTTGGGTTTTGATAAAAAAAAGCAATATTTCCGATAGGAGTAAGAAAAATTATGCCTTTTATTGAATTTATTTCAAGATTTGATGAACGTAGCTCAGACTCTTAAATAGGTCGTGAAGACTACTATTATTATTTTTTTTTTCAGGAAAAGTCCTAAAATTTGTTCAGGATCAATTTTGCTGTTTCGCGGTTTGACTTCTAATTTCTTTTCAAATTCAGTTCAATCCTTTGTTAAAAGCAAGGCAAACTCGACCATCGAACAACATAAGTGTCAAGGTCGCGAAAAACGTGACCGACTTCTAGTTTCGAATGTGGATTTTAATTTTCAGATGTCCCAGCGGAATAAAAATGTTTACCCTTTGATCCAAATTTTTCAAATTAAATTTTTTCTTTAAAAAAGCAGCGTTCTATAAAAAAGCGGTCTTGAAGATCAAAGAGCTTTAAATGCATATGTTTTGTCTTTAAAGTACGAAAGGTGAAGTTTTTTTCAAATAACAGGTCAGTTTTTTTTCTGTTTACTTGCATTCAGTGACTCTTTTCGAACTGTCTGTTAGCTAAAGTTCAGAAATTGTTAAAAAGTGAGGAAGATAGTTTAACTACAGAGCCTTTTTGAGGTACCGACGTTTCAAAGTTGTACAATTGAGGCTTCAATTATTATTAGATAGCCTTAAACTCAAAGTAGATAAAATGTCTGTTGGCAACGGTTTTTAGCCCTGATGTACGCCTCAATCTTTGGAAATGTCTCGGCCATCATTCAGAGACTGTACTCTGGTACTGCCAGGTACCACACACAGATGCTTCGTGTTAAGGAGTTCATCAAGTTCCACCAGATACCCAATCCACTGAAACAGAGATTAGAAGAGTATTTCCAGCACGCTTGGACTTACACCAACGGCATTGACATGCACGCTGTACGTTGCATAATATCCTCATTTGCCATCTACTTATTTCTAAAATCATTATTTGTTGAGAATTGCGAGTGATCATGCGTTTAAGTGGCAACGATAGGCTTTGCAATCTATTGGTTTGTTTAGGACTGTTTTCTCTTGCTAAAATACTTTGTTTTAGGTGCTGAAAGGTTTCCCAGATTGCCTGCAGGCTGAGATTTGCATGCACCTCAATAGAAATCTACTTAAGGGCTGCGCTGCTTTCAAAGGTTAGTCAGTAACAATACTATAGTCATTGATGATCATTTGTGATTCTTCACTGATGCAAAGAAGTTGTCTCTATCGGTGCTACCATTTTCACTGTTATTTATGTTGTGTTAAGCTCAAGTACATAGCAAACAGAGAGAAACCTTTGTCCGTGTATTTGTGCCTTGAGCTCCACATTTGCTAGCTCCAAATTTGTAACACGTTTTTGCCTCTTCATATTCGTATTTTTTGTTGTTGTTTTTCTTTCTTTCTTTCTTTCTTGTCGTTTACCCACCTGGGTTAAATGGTTAAGTCATCTACCTACTCGGCCCTGTGCAGCTTGTGAGGTGTCTAGCCATAACGGTTGCCGATTCCGGCAACGCACAAATTGTGCAATCTTTCCATTTCTGTCTAGGTTTTTACTGAAAAAGGGGGGTTGATTCCGCGTCCGATTCAAGTGTTATCACACTGCTCCGTTGTTATCACACGACTTCATGTGATTTTTCAAGGTGTTTTAGGGAAAATGGTACTGCATTTATCATAAGGGAGCGTGACTATCCTCGTTTCATGCATCCTTTTCTGGTGAATCCCGGCCTGTTTTTTTTGAAAATCTTGTTCCAAATGTCGCATGTGTTGAAGGTGGCTTGTAGGGTTGTCAGGCTGCAGTATCTTTCTTAAGCAGCTCCTCGTGGTGTCGATGCCTAATTCTCTATTTCTTTGGTGTCGATGCCTAATTCTCTACGTCCATTAGTAGCGTGTGCCAGTACATGAGTGTTTTCCATTTCTTGCGACGACATTTCTGAAGTGGTTCCAATTCATTTTACCACCCTAGGCACGCCTTTTTTGTAGATCGGTTGTCTATTCTCATGACGTGTCCGATCCCTCTCAACATGCGGTTCTCTATCTTCCATCTCACCGTCTTCACGATGAGCCGGTTTTCGATGTCCTGCATGTTTACGTTTTTCTCTTGCATTTCAATGAGTGGAGGTTTGGTCTTGTCACTCCATGTGCCGGTCAATCCAGCTCTGCATTGACTTCGTCACTGAAGATTGCCAGCTCCTGGCAGCGATGTCGAAGAGGAGCCCGCTTTTGACAAAGCTCTGCACTACACGTGCCTGTAGCCGCTTAGGTATTCTGCTCTTCTTCAGACGTCCTCTGACTTTCGCCCAGAGCGAGCCTGCGCGTTCCTTCCGGTTGCTGATGTCGGCTTTTGCTCCTCTCCACACTCCAAGAATCAGGATGTCTCCTGCAGTTTCACTCCTAAATACCAGCTTCTCTGCCTTGCTCATGTTGTTCCGTTCTTGGAAACTAGCCATGGTCTCATTCATGGTGTCAGTACCTCTGGCGATCTCTCTTCTCTCCCCGATTGGCTGGTGTCGTCGGCAAAAAGAGACGGACAGTCCTCGCTTCGCTGTTGAAGCACTGCTCTGTTCTGACCAGGAGAAACGGACTGTCTTCGCTTCACTGTTGAAGCACTTCCTGTTCTGACCAGAGAATCTGGTCCCGGGGAGCCACGACCAAGGGATGCCTACTGTTTGCCAACTGTTTTCCCTTCTTCATCAGCTCATGACGACTTTGTGGTATATGTTATTTAGAGTCAGCCAATTCATTGGTCTATCCAACCCATAGCGTTTTAGGATATCCCACATGGCCTGCTTGCTCACCCTAGGGTAGGCCTTTGTGAGATCCATGAGTCTGGCTTCTTGGTCTTTATCGGACGACTTAGAGAAGGCCGACATACCCATCGAGTTTGCCGTCTTCCGCGTCTTCTTGGATCCGAACGAAGAAGATATGACTCTCGTTACATCCCGAGGCGCTAGGATGCGGCTAGCCACGAAGAAGAGGCAAACATCTCTTTAGTTGTTGGCGTGTTCTTATCGCCCTTTTGAACTAAGGGATGATTTTTCCGATTTTCAGCCGAAGGTTCCCAGTTTTTCGCTCCTTCGCTAAACATCCGGAGGACCGTGTTGTTGTCTCTTTGTCGTCTGTTGTTGTTGTTGTTGTTGTTGTTAAAGAAAGAAAGAAAGAATTCTAGTAACATTGAGAAATTAATTCTTTCTTTCTTTCTTTAACATCATATTGCGCATAAATACATCAGTATCAAAGAGGGGACAGCTAACGATCCCATAAGGGATACTAAATGCTGCCCCAAAAAATATTAGAAACATGAATGATGTAGTTAGTTGGGTTTCAAATTATTATGAAATCTAGTGCATAAATTCTACATATTTGCAAAAATAGAACGAACAAAAAAAGGTGAAATATAAAATCATATATTAGAGGGTCTAAAGGCCTACTCAGAAATGGCATGATTTATCTCCGTTTTAAGTAACACACAACATAACTTAGTTTATTAAAAACAGTTGCAAATGTTAATGAACTGATTATAATATTTACCTAAAAAAAATACAAGTTTTTTCCTTTCATTTTAAGCCTTGGGCATGAATATGAAATTTCTAAGTGATTTTTAGGAAAAACGAAAAAATTGGGCATAGGTTCCCCCTCAAGCGGGCCATTTCGGCCCATTTTGGAAAAAAATTTTTTTTTTTTTTAATTCTTAATGGATGCGCCACTTTTCCGAGACTTTTATTCAGTAATCTAAACTCACAAAGAGTCCGTCGTACTAGGTTTTCCGGGGATTACGTCAAAAAAATCTCGGGTCCGTATTTCCTCTTATTAAATCTATTTTCCAGCTATCCATCATATTCAAAAAAATATATATCTTTTAGGAATAATTCAATTTAATTCTGGCAAAAGAAAAATTTGATGAGTTCTTCGTTGCTTAGAATGAACAGATCTCTAATTCGGTGAGCCACGCTTTGAATATTTGCCTGTGAAAAATTAGTGAATTCATTGGGCATTAAAAAGTTCTGTTTAAGTAAATTGTAAAGTTTCGTTCCCCTGTAACTTATCGACATTCTCTGCATTTTGGTTTTTAAATTAGGAATTTTCATCAACTCTGAATTAGCCCTCCTAGTCCTATACGTTGGTATTTCAAATTTAAAAAGTTCATTTAGAAATTCTTCAGAATGAAGTCCGGAGACAGATCTCAAAACAAATTTTAGAAGTTCATACACATGTAATTCGTGGATTGTTAAGATTCCTTGGTCAAAAAATACATCCCGTATTGTTTCAAAATTTCTTTTGAAGTAAATTAGGCGAATATTTTTTTTTGTATCATCAAAAGGGGCAAAATATTTGTATAGCTGGTACAACCGTACACTAAAATGCCGTATTGTAAAATTGGTTTAAAATTAGAGGCATAGTATTTTAGTATGGTACCTCTGGAAACATAATGACGCATTTTTGAATTAATTCCACATTCTAAGCTTAGTTCGAACTAAATCAATATGAGTATTGAAAGATAATTTAGCATCCAAAATAATTCCAAGGTATTTGCAAGATGAAGCATTTTTTAAAGGTAATTTATTTATATAAATGTTTTGGTTGGAAGCACTATTTGAAGAGACGTAGACTTGAACAGTTTTATCTATATTCAGGGATAATTTATTTAATATTAACCACTTGCCTACAGCTTCTTAGTCTTTGTTGAAATTTTCAACAGAGCAATTTAAAGCAGTTATTTTAGTATCATCGGCAAACAGGAAAACTTCACTATATTGGCAGACTTGAGGAAGGTCATTAATATATGTCAGAAACAAAAGTGGTCCCAGTATTGACCCTTGAGGGACGCCGCACTTTAAGTCCATCCACGTTGACTTTGTTGTACCTATTTCTACTACTTGTTTTCGATGTTTCAGATAGCTTATGAACCAACTTAAATCTTTTCCATCTATCCCATACATTTGCAACTTTTGAAATAGTATCTGATGATCCAGTGTATCAAAAGCTTTTTTAAATCAAGAAAAGCTGTATATTTTTGCGACCTGCTCATATCTAAACGAAGTTTTTCTGTTACTTCCGCAGTTGCATCGACTGTGCTGTGATTTTTGCGAAAACCAAATTGTTTAATGTATATTAACGAATTCGTTTCCAAGTAATTGTATACTCTGTTGTACATTACTCGCTCAAAAACCTTGCTCCAGGTGACAAGAAGGGATATTGGTCTGTAATTTGTAACATCAAGTTTAGAACCTTCCTTATATAATGGATAGACAACAGCCCTAGCTAGACAGATAGGAAAATGGCCAGATTTAAAAGAAACTTCAATGAGTTGCCTTAATATGGGTACAATCGCAAATGGGCTTGCTTTCAAAACAAGATTACTGATTCCATCCACGCCAAATGAAGCTTTATTTTGTAGGTTAGAAATGATAATGTGAACTTCACTTTCCGTAACAGGGAAATTGAACATGCAAAAGTTAGGTGTATCAAACGATTGTGTGATTCCCTGGTTTGGTATGTTTTTCGCCAGATTTATGCCAATCGAACAGAATTGAGCATTAAATTCATTTGCAATTGCCGATTCATCGGTGATACAATTTCCGCTAATGGAATTGATCGAAACATTTTTTTTTGATGTATTTGTAATTCCCCTTAAATTATTTAAAATTTTATATATCTGCCTTGAGTCACCAATACACTTTCTAAACTTATCATAGTAATAATGCTTTTTATATTTCTTAATCTCAATTTCACATTTCTTCCGGACAATTTCAAAACGCAACCTGGCACCAACTTCAGATTTATTGTTACACCATGTTCTATGAAGCCTGTTTCGTTTTGCGATTAGGTTTTTAATACGATTCGACAGCGAAAAAGATCTAGATTTCCGCTCTGGTGTCTTTGTGGTTTTCAGTGGTGCGTATTTGTCTAATACACTGCTAAACGTTGACTGAAATTCCGCAAATAAATCTTCATGCCTTTTGATGGGTCTAAAGCGTCATTATAGTGTAACTTAATCATAAGTGTTTGATTAAGCTTTTCTATCTGTATTTTAGATTTTAAGAAAGTTGTATCACGATAAATTTTTGGACAAATTTTCTTTGATGTTTGGGTGTTTAATTCTAAAATAATCGGAAAGTGTTCAGAAAATGATTGATTTTCAAGAGCATAGGCTGCT